TGTATCTATCTATCTATCTACCTATCTCTATCTATCTCTATCTATCTCTATCTATCTGCTATCAATCTCCTATCTATCTGTCTATCTATCCGTCTATGTATCTGTCTATCTATCTGTCTATCTATCTGTCTATCTATGTCTATCTATATCTATCTTTATCTATCTCTATCTATCTGAATCTATCTGCTATCAATCTCCTATCTATCTGTCTATCTATCTGTCTATCTATCTGTCTATCTATCTGTCTATCTATCTCTCTATCTATCTCTCTATCTCTCTATCTCTCTATCTCTCTATCTCTCTATCTCTCTATCTATCTATCTATCCATCTATCTATCTATCTATCTATCTATCTATCTATCTATATCTCTATCTATCTATCAATCTATCTATCTATATCTCTCTCTATCTATCTATCTATCTATCTATATCTATCTATCTATCTATATCTATCTATCTATCTACATCATATCTAATTTAATCTAATCTACTCTAATCTAATCTAATCTATCTATCTATCTATCTACCTATCTCTATCTATCTCTATCTATCTCTATCTATCTCTATCTATCTGCTATCAATCTCCTATCTATCTGTCTATCTATCTGTCTATCTATCTGTCTATCTATGTCTATCTATATCTATCTTTATCTACCTCTATCTATCTGAATCTATCCGCTATCAATTTCCTATCTATCTGTCTATCTATCTGTCTATCTATCTGTCTATGTATCTCTCTATCTATCTCTCTATCTATCTCTCTATCTATCTATCTATCTATCTATATCTATCTATCTTTGCAAGTTCCCTCGTCGGCCTGGTTCTAAGAAATAGTAAAATCAGTTTTTTTTTGCGTTTTTTATATTTTTTTCATTTTGATTTTTTTTGTTCATTTGTTTTCTGTTTTTTTCTTCTTCTTTTTTTCGGACATCATTTTGAAAACTGCTTGGTATGCCACCTGGTATTTTAAAAACTGCTACTTTGGAACTTTCTTACCCTCAAAACTGGTACTCTTGGCTGCCTTTGTTCCTCAAAAGTCTCAGGTTTGTGAAATAGTTTCTTTTGAAAAACAAAAGCAGCCAAGAGTACCAGTTTTGAAAATAAGAAAGTTCCAAAGTACCAGTTTTTGAAATACCAGGTGGCATACCAAGCAGTTTTCAAAATGATGTCCAAAAAAAGAAGAAGAAACACAATTAAAAAAAATGAACTTTCAAAATGGAAAAACATGAACTTTTAAAATCTAGAATTTAAAAATCTAAAAACACAAAGAATATTTTAAAAAAACGATTTCTGATTTTTCAAAATTGCCAAAAAACATCAAAGAGAAGAGATTCGAACAGAGTGAACCGTCCTGCTGATCAAAATTTCAGAAGGGGAAAAAAATGAACTTTCATGTTGAGCCAATTTCTGGAATGAACTTTTTTTTTCCGCGCACCTTTTTAGCTGCAGAGTTCAAGTCTCGCGTCCGAAGGAAGGGGCCGCGCTACGCAGGGAAGCCGAGGCGGCTGGGGCCCGCGAAGTCAGCCAGAGAGAGGATGGCCAAGGGGCAAGGGGGTGTCGGTTCCATGGGGGTGCCCGGACGGCCGGGAACCCAGGGGCACGCGTTTGAGCCTTGAGCCAAATGGCTGTGTGAAAAAGATACTCAGTCATGTTACGCTTCTTGTCGCCTGGAAGTAAGACTTCTCCGTCTTCTTCGAAAAGTGACGCCAAGGCTTTCTTCGCCTCCTGTCGTTTCTTTGCAGCTTCTTCTTTCTCCTCTTCTTCTTTCTTCTCCCGTGCCTTTTTGTTCCGTTTCAAGATCAATCTTGGTTCTCTTTCAGCAGATCCTTGAGCCGCCTTGAAACAGTCTTCCAAGTAAGTGTCTCGAGACGCAAATTTCTTCGCTCTTTTCTGGTTTCTTTGAGCTTTCGCAGCTTCTGACACGTCTTTGCTTCGTTTGCGGTGTTGTCGCTGATTGATTGTTTTGGCGATTCGTTCAGGAAGGGGCGACAATTGATAAGCCGCGAAGCCATCGTGTCTGATGTGCTTTCTGTTCTCTGAAACCGTCTTTTCAACTAATGTTCTTTGATTCAACATCCGGGCTCCTGTAGGTTTTGTTTCCTCACAAAAGTAAACGAAAGGAGTGGCGTCCCTTGTCCAGCCGACACACGAACCCGGTGAACTGCTGAAACAATCTCGAGCGGTAACCAAACTCGACAATTCACGTCCATGCGCAATTCCTTCTATGGCACCATAGCGCAACGAGACAAAAATGCCCTTGCTATCACCAATAGTGCCAGTCTCTGTCCCCAGTTCTCGTTCTACACCTTTCAACGCATGATAAAAGGCAGTAGCGTCCTCTCGAGTGACTTGAAGGAAATTGCCGCCGTGGATCGCTGAACTCCTCACCATATGCTGTGAAGCGGCAGGCAGAGAGCAAGGGTCATTTTCCTTGTCTGGCTGATAATGACAATTAGCTATGGCAGCTAACATAGACTCGAGTGGTCTTTGAGAAGCCGAGCCGGTGATAACCAAGAGATCGAAACCATCGGAACGCCTCTCTGATCTTGTTGTGGCTTCCATGCTGCCTACTTTCGATGTTTTGTAAGGAAGAGAACCACGCATGATCGTCAGAATGGTCTCTCCTATCTTCATTCGATAGCGTTTTCGAGACGCCATTAACCCAATCACCGCCAGAACAATGGGACAGTGAAATTCTTGGACTTGGCGACCTTGCTCTTCTTTCTTGTCGATGACAAATGCCACAGCCTAGTGCTTTGCGAAAGAAGAGTTGATGCAATGCGCTGAGGCAAAATTTCGCTTCAAATAATTTGTCAAAATTGTGACTTCCTCATCCAAACATGTTTTCTCATCCATCGCTCCACGAGCCTGCTGCACCGTGATTGCGCCAGCATTTTCCAAATGCACTGCTCGATGTAGTTGATTCCTTTCGCTGAGAGTGGCAAAGTCAAATGGTCCTGCTTCACTTTCTGCAAGTGGTCCTTCTACTCTTTGTGGTCTATAGACTTTGCCCAGCACATCTTCGATCTCCGCTTCAACGAATTCTATATGATGAGTTCCAGGAGAAGCTGCTTTAGTGAGAACTCTTGGCTCTGAGCATAAGAACAATGGCTCCATCTCACCGTAGATCGCTTTAACTCGAGAGCTCGAAGCCATTTCCACAGCGAACCAAAGACTCTACCTACGGAGTACCTGAATGAACTTTCATGTCAGACCAGATTTGCAGAATGAAAAAAAATGAAAAACAACGAAAAAAAATGAAAAAAACATGAACTTTTTCGTTTTTTTTTCATTTTTTTTCATTCTGAAAGTTCATTTTTTTCTGGTCCCCAAAAAAAGTTCATTCTGAAATTTTGCCCACGTCAAAAGTTCATTTTTTGTTTATCTCCTTGTTTCAAAATTTCAAGTTCAAATACCCTATCCCAAACCCACCCTAAACCCTAAGAGTTTAGGGTTTAGGATTTTGGTTTTTGGTTGGTTTAAGTTAAGTTGAGCAATCAACCTCAACAAATCCTGGCCAGGTTTCCCTTTGCCACAAATGAAACAATTGTCAAAATTTATATTTAGAAATTTAATTTCTTAGGCTTTGGAACACTTTCTCCAGCAATTTGAACATTTTGGCCATGCCAAGCAAGAACCCCAACCTGTCACAGCCAGAGACAGCCTCAAAAGCCCCAAGGAAGCCCAGCAAGGCCCAAAAATGCTTCATTTTTTCCACTGGGGATCACAAACTCCAATCACAAGCCAAAAAAAGCAGAAATGAAAATGATTTCAAAATGAAGGCAGGAAAAAAAGCAGATTTCCAAATGAACTTTAAAAATGAAAAAAAATGAAAAAACAAACTAGTTTTAAGATGCTTTAGAACCAGGCCGCGGTGGAACTTGCAAATCTATCTATCTATCTATCTATATCTATCTATATCTACCTATCTATATCATATCTATATCATATCTAATCTAACCTAATCTAATCTAATCTAATCTATCTATATCATGTCTAATCTAATCTAATCTAATCTATCTATCTATATCATATCTAATCTAATCTAATCTAGTCTAATCTAATCTAATCTATCTATCTATCTATCTATCTAATAAACCATGGACCATAGATTTCTCTAATTTTCCAGGTGTCCAAGAGTTTCCAACGTGTCGATCTATTTTGGGGTGACTACAATAGATAATCGGTTCTGAAACTAACCAAACCACTCAATAGATTTCCATAGAATATATGTTTGTTATGGATTCCATCCCTCTAATACCAAACACCATGTTTAAGGTGGATCGAACTACTATGACATTCTTGGAATAGATCTGCTGGAGTTGGGTGCAGATTTGGGAGTCCAAAGTGTCCTTCTGATTTGTGTCTACTGTGGCTGCAACAGCGCAGCATGTTCGGGTTCAAGTTGGCTAACACTCACTGTCATAGCAAAGAATTGCCATTGTCGGGTTGTCTGATTCAGAGGGGCTGAGTGCCATGGAGATTTGCTATTCCAAATGGATGTGGGTCAAAATGGAAGACCTAGGGGACCACAGATGTTAGTCTGGTTTAGTATTAACCATCCAATTATTGGGGTACCTAATTTTGACCCATACCTAAATGCCTAGTTGTGCATTATCTTGGGAGGGCACCTGTGGTGAAGCAAATTTGAACTGGTCCAACCAGCAGCGAAGAAAACACCACAAGCATCGCAAGTTGGATTCTGTTAATCAAACTTTGCTAGGTTCAGGTGGCTTGCTTCCCAAGGTAAGATAATCACGTGAAGATGGGAGTGGCTGCTCAGAAATGGGCAATATTGGGCAAAACAAAGTAAAACCCAGACCAAACACTGAGGTTGCCTCTTGTAAGATCCCAACAAGGATAACGCTTTGGCAGCTCAAGTTTTCATCTTCCATCAGCTCATTGGCGAACTGCAAAAATCAGATGTTCAATAGGAAATATATGGAAATATGGGATTGCCGTCCATAAACGGATGATTTTCGGTTGCCAGATTATATAAATTACCTGAGGTTCAATGCATTCACAGTGATACCTTCATTATAAGAAAGGATTAGCAGGGCTAATAGCGGATAAAAATCATGAATAATCCAACATGCACTTGATTCACAGGTATGATTTGTTGAATGGAGTAGCGCTAGTACCAAATAGTAGCCCAATCGGGTCAACCCATGTCTTAAGACTACTCAATTCCCAGTTGGATTTCAAGCATGTTCTAGCTGGTATAGGGTTTAAACATCTCCATTTCAGCTATGAAACCCGCCAAGCTACCAGGCTCCATCTCCTCAGCATAGCTCTGCGAAGTCTTCTCTGCTGGTGTTTTCTCCTGCGGAACCCAGGCATCTTAAGAACGACCATGATGAAATACCCCAGATGCATGGAACATCCCCAGTTATATAACTTCTTAATATTTCTTAATTATATGGAAATTTGCAAACTGAAATGCACATCCAAATCTGGAGTATCCGCAATCTTCTTAAAATGGTGGTTGTGGAGCCACCCTTTGTAGTCAGTAAATAGGGATGGTCACGCTGATGGAGATGATGTTCATGGCCAAACCCGAACAACCGCATGGTTTTTGGTCGTGGAAAACTACAGAACTTTGTATATCAACACTGCCCCCCAACAAGAAAACACCATGTGCATTCCACATCTATACATTAAAGAAAAAACACACAAGCCATAAATATAGGCTCGCCCAAAAAGATGTGGTACCCCAAAAACCGAGGGTTTATCACCATTCCCAATGGACGTGACAAAGTTTTGGGGCATACACTTTTTTTAGAAAAAAAAACAAATATCATACAGTCAGCTAGTTTTATCCCATTCAATCCCCATGAATACCCTCGGATGATCGTCACATGGCAATGGAAAATCCTCCAATTGTAGTTGATTTTACCAGCTATGAAAGATTCTAAATCAATTATAATTCATGAATTAAACAACATTTAGCCATACTATATTATTTCTAGGAATACTACAGTGTCAAATCCTGCTTCTCATCTGAGATACCCCCAAAATCTCATGTTCTAGCTAGTTAATTGGTACATTTTACCATTGATAGCAAAGGATTAAAGTACTAGTTCGTATCTAACAGTCTAACAAAGGTTGACCCAGTTATCACATTCCCATGTCGTTTGAGGACTGGGCCCCACTAAGCCTGCGCGGCTTGCGGAACATCGCCAGCAGGGGAGGTTGGGGACGCAGGGGCCGCAGGGGCCACAGGGGCTGAGGCGAGCAGCATGGGCAGCTGAACCTCCTGCGCAGTTCATTCACGATTTCATGAGACTTTCATGGAATTTACAGGATTTAAGGGGATTCAAATGGACTTAATTTAACGTGATTTTGATTTATGATGGGATAACTCATATGTTTTATGGTGATTCCTTGGGATTTGACACCTCCAATATGGGAGATCGTGGGCATTCAAGACTCCAAACGCAAGTACTTCCGCCTGGGATGTGCATCAAGTGCGCCAATGATTTTTGGGACTTTTCTGGGACACATGAACCATGGATGCCATGAACAAAAAATGACCAAAAAAAAAGAGAGAGTTCTTAAGCAGCAAAATGCGGGTTTACCCAATAAACATCAATTTTCAGAATCCGCAAACTCACCAGAAATGGGTGGTATAAACCATCCTCAAATGGTAGGTCTTTTATTGCACTGGACGAAAACTTAACCAGTTAAGGTTCTGGCCGGTGAAGCGCTCCTCAGGCACTTCAGCTGGCTTTGCGTGCTCCTCAACGACGGTGCGGTGGATTCATGTGGATTCAATGATGTTTCAGGATCAACCAGAAAATTACCCTCTAGGAAACATAGAAAAAGCCATGAAAAATGGTGATTTATAGATATTTATAGTTGATTTACCCATGAAAAATCGTGATTGTCCATAGTTATGTTAGTTTACGAAAGGGTAACTGGGATGCATGTGGCATCATTAGGATACATAGAGGCTTGCAACAACTGAAGCTCCCCCATTCATATTTTTTTATATTTTTATGAGGGGGGTCTTAGTGGACTGTTCATCACCTGCTAAAAGTTTAATTTTGATTGGAGTGTATGGCAAATCCATCTGATACCAACAAATACATTTTGCTAACTAGGGGAACATCTAGTGTATGGACCGTATTATCAGATCTGTTAACTTCTTTCATGTTATATAATTAATATTGATTGATTCACCTTACAGATAGATTGATACATAATCCCACCTCCCTAATGTTAAAGAAATACCCCAAACGAGCCCTTGGTGACAGTTAGATCAGTTCTATTGAAGCCGGGGCACCTGATAGGCGTCGAATCCGTGGGTCAATGGTTTCAGTGCCATGAGGCATCCCTTCGAAGCCCGCAACAAGCCTGCAGCCATGGGATGTCGTGGGATGTCGACTGTGAGCCCCATTGGGGCTTGGGATGTGATGCTTCTCTCCATGGATTCTTACATGTTTTTAGATGATTTCCGGTAATCAAACATATCAATCGAACAAAACCACCATATCTATTATTAATTATAGATTCTATATGATTCTATTACAAATAATCCTACATTATAAATGATTGTCCAGCCGGCCACGTTTGATTCAGAGGCTAGGTTTTGGTGAAAGTCTGGTGGTTCAGGTCTCCGAACCCACATGGAGCTGGAAGAAACAACACCAAACTGACATCACAAACTATATAGAAACATGCAGGAACCAAGTTGACAGAAACACCCCAAATTGTCAGAAGATGCAAAGGCTGCTAAGCACAGATATATGCCATCACCGAAATGGCTGCCAAAGCTGTCAGCAACGCGTTTCCTTGTGTCGCACAATTGGCCAGCTGTGATCTAGCGCACTAATCTTGAATGGATGTCCTAGGTCGCCTTGGTATTGAGCCGCACAACCACTGAAGCAAGCTTTTGCCATTGCAGCGCAAGCAGAACGTAAAGCTGTGCAGTTGCTTGAACAAAAGCTGCTGCTGCACTGAGTTTCTCAGAACGGGGTGCCCAAAAAATGGGGTGCTCCAAAAAGGGGGTGCCCCAACGTCAAGCAGTTTATCATCATGTCCCCCATTCAAATGGGAATATTTCAGGGCATACCCCGCTTCTGTTTGACAAAGTCAACCAATCATCCAAACGTTGCTGGACGTTTCTTGCCCTATGCTCTATACGCACTCCATGTCCGAATCCATTCCCCAAAGCGAAGCCGTGGCTGCTTTGCTACGGCTGGTTGGCTGTGGATATCGTGTCGGTTGCGTCATCCGCTTTGTTATTGACATTGGTCTGAAGGAAATTGATCTGAAACCTGCATATTTAATAGCAAATTCAGCGGCACAAACTCTATGGATCCGTATGATCCGTATGGCCAGCATATGGCATTCTATACATGTTATTATATACACGATTATTAACTATTTATGTATTTTACTCTTTTCATGGCCCAAGGTTTACCCAGTGCAACCACCCCCGAGTCGTCCCTCTTTTCGTCGCTCCAGGTGCCGGCATTCTTTGGCCGGTGCCAGGGAGGCCGTTTGTTCGTCGCCCCTTCCTGAGGCGGATGGGTTAAAAAACAACAAAAAACATGGAAGCTCCAGGTAATCAATGCACCAACATAACACGAGCAATGTTCAAACTCAAAGTCCCAATATGTTGGATCTTTATGGATCTTTACCATGTTTAGATATTTGACTTGGGTTCTTTTGGACTACAGATTCAGGATTTTCTTGAACATGTTTCCAAACTGGGACATGAATCAACAAATATGTTGATATAGACGACTCCGAATCAAACTTGAGCATCACCAACAATGCTTGAAGTCAAGTTCATTGCAAATTGCTGTATACAGTATCCAACATGAATGGGTTGCAGCGACACACCGAACTGTGGATCCTAAAGATGGTTTGCATGCACTGTTTGGGGCCCCCAATCCTGCCCCAACCACCCCAATGGTCACCCCCAAAAAAAGTTTATCAAGGGATTGGTAACCCTCACCAACAACCGAAAGGTATCAGGGTCACCCTTGGGCTCATCTCTACCACGGGGCTGGCATCGTCGAAAATCTCACCCAGCAGTAGCCCTCAGCTGAGCCAGCAATGACAACTTGGCAGTGCCCAGAGGTAACACCACCTGACGCCGGCCATGTCTCAACCACGCAGTTTGGATAGCCACTTGACCACTTGGTTGAATTGCCATGCGCCATGAAGAGATCCAAGAATCCAAGACTAAACCAGGCTTGCGCCACGAGCATCATTGTATGCATAGAGTAAAAACAGGTTAAAACATGGTAAAATCCACAAGCATTAAACAAAAATCGAAGTATTTATATGTACAGTAGATCTGGAATACCATCTGATGGGATCACAAAATGATCTGATGATATCTGATTGCCGTGCCTTGGTCGTGTTGGCTTGCGCTGAAATCAAGCGATAAATGGGAAAATCCAGTTGACCCACCTGGGCTCGAAACGAAGCTTTGAGGTCTAAGGAAACCACCGTTTTCCCATCAAATATTGGGTTTCCTGGAGATGTTTCTTTAAACCAATCCTTAAACCAATCCCTGAAAAATACGACAAGAGCCCCTTTGTCAATATCCAATTCTCTTAGAAACCAGACGACTGGATCTATATTTACAGCGGCCCGTATTGGGACTTCACCAGGGGGATAAGATTTCAGGATGGTCACCGACCTAAACTGGAAGCCGTGGAAGATTTCGGTGCGATTTGTAGAGCCCTGCGGTTGAGTAAGATCGTTTCCAGTTGGGGATAGAAACATGTGTTTGCAAATCACAAAGGGTCAATCCTTCAGAACCCTCTGTTTGAAGGCACAGTTGTGACACAATTCACAATTCTGATCATTCTGCAATACGACATTCAGCATTCAAGGTGAATGTAGGTCATTAATGATCATTTAACATTGAAACATAGATAAACATAGGTTTGGCACTCCAGGCGACGAGTTTATTCCGCAGAAAGGGACCTCTTTGCCCACAGGCAGCGCGCCACCACGTTCAATTTTCAGGTGGCACACGGCGGAGCGAGGGTCCTAAGTTCAGGCCATAGGGGGATGGTATGTCCGAGGGGACAACACCAACCAGCTATAAGATCAAACGATGGGGCAGAAAGAAAATTTAAGATCATTTTCTCAAATAAAACTCTTAGCTTTTTAAAGGTAACCCGGTAGCCACCATTTCCGAGCAAATCTGGATGTTGATATGATCCGCGAACATCAAGAATCAACATGATTCAAAGCACACACAAACACACATGCACGGCCAACGTTGACTGACACTGATCTGGTTCGTAGGTTCGATCCGTTTAAACGTTTAAACATGTTGGCCGTCCCTTAGCTAGAGAGCCAAACAGATAAACTGCAAGATCACCACGAAGGGGCCAATACAAAGGGGCATCCAGTCTAGGCATGTCTAGGCCACTTAAATCCAAAACAATAATAAACAACCAACAACAAATTTATGTAAACACGTGTAAACACATATACATGATCTGCCGTAAAAATAATGTATGGTGCCTGAATGTGTCACCAATTTTGCTCGAATCTTTCAGGTAATGATTGGAACCCTGCTGCCACCTCTCATTGTTGGTGATGTCACTGGTAACTTCTTAGCCTCAGAGGCGGCGCTGGGAATTGCCACTGAAGTCACTCTTGTGCCCTGGAAATGACAGAAGGAAGAACGTATAGCTGCCAACAGCCCAAGGGACTTATAGAAATCATGCTCAGGCTCACCCAGGGTGAAGCACGGGGTCCGCAATTCTCACGGCTTCCAGCAAATTGACTGATCACCACAAGCTTGCCTCACTAGAGCCTACCATCATGGCACAAAAAAGTATACTAAACACATATAATATATATAAACACACACACATATATTATTATATGAATCAGTAACTAAAAATGTTGAAACAAAGTGGCCACGTCAACGACTCTTAAGCCAGGTGACTGCTTCACATCTGAGCTTCCCGACAGAGTGAACGAAGAACATGTGGATCACAAAGAGTTCGATGTAGACGAATTGAATGAGGCAAAGAGTCAGAAATCATGAGCCCAAGTGATGTGGAGGCAACTGGTTTTTCAAAATGCCAAACGAAAACATTAAGACAAGCAACAACAGTTTCAGACTCAGAACCTCAAAAAAATCCCCAAAATTAAACATACTGAGATGTACTGAGCCTTCCCACTGACAAATCCAAGGCTCTCCCTGGATCAAATGGGTAAAAGTGGCCTGGAAGTGAACTGTGTTGTCCTCCACTTCCTCACTCAGGGGCGCCAGTGGCCTCGTCCCTTCCCCCGATCATATGGAATACTTATGGAATACCCCAGATGGGCCACGGAAATGAATAGGTCTTGCCCTACTGGTTGGTGGTTGAGCCACCCCTCTGAAAAATATTAGAATATGAAAGTCAGTTGGGGTTACTATTGCCAATATATGGAAAAATGAAATTCATGTTCCAAACCACCAACCAGCCTACAATTCCTACAATGTCCATTCACTTCTGCCCCTGTCGATCCTCCTCTTCATCGGATTCGGAGCCTGGCGGAGTCTGGGAGGCTGGGAAGGAAGTTCCCCGTGCCAGGAGTCGTTGGAAATCTTCAAATAAACAACCCTTCAAACCCTTAGCTGAAAGGCTGCTCGAAGGCAAGTTTCCACATGACAAGGGCTAGCTACATGAGAACCGCAGTTCTAAGCAGACAATTCCGGTGAACTAGCCCAAGCTCTAATGGGGAAATTGGGCCACTGTGTCGTCCGCATCTTCATGGATCAAACCCTCCGTGGTTTTATGCATAATTATCTTATCTCTCACTCTCTCGCCTTCACACCAAGCCGGCCTCAGCCTAAGCAAACATATCCAGTTAGTTGTTCCAATTTTTGTTGCTGCTTAAAACTACATTGTTTAAAGAACCACATATAGATAAGTAAATATTGTGTCAAGATTCATGATGAACTCCTTGAAACTCCTTGAAACCTTCCATTTTTCATCATTTGTCTGGGCCACCATGATTATCACATTAAATCCCATGAATATCCCATTAAAATACTAGATTCCATTAATATCCCATGAATATGCCATTAAAACACCATAGTATAGTAATATCGTAATATCCCACCATTGCCCAAGCCGCACCTGGACCGCCAGGCCTGCCCACATCCACCACAGTAGATCTGCGCCACCAAGCGGTGGCGCCATAACCTGGAAATCTGCAACGCGATGTGTCTATGCGAATCACTCCTATGAACACATACGCGCATGCATATTTTATAATGGAATGTATGATATAGGATGTACTATGATGTACTAAATATGATATACTATGTTATTGTATTTTATATAATGTATCATATATATATATATATGTAATATAAAATAGATGTATGCATGTTAATATAACAGAAGTACGTGTATATATGTATTTATATGCAGAAAACGTACTTTATCAATGTGTATATATATATATTCTCTTACTATAAGTTTGATATGTGGATTGGGATTTGACTAAACTCATCTCAAATCGCTTGCTGTATAGGCCTGGAACCAGTGTCATTTGGGTTCCAGGCCCAGGTATGCTCAATGTTAATCTATGTCTCTCTCTCTCTCTCTGTATCTATACATATGGAAATGGAGATTTAACTCAATAGCATACCACACCCACATATATACAAAGGTTGCTCATTGTGATCAAGCATGGAATTGAGATGAATTGAGACTGTAACATAAACCAATAATCAATGGTGTGTTGTTGGTGGCTTCAATTGTAACATCAAAACATTCAAACACGGCTGAAAAATACAGCATTTACAGTAGTTCAACGCTTTTCCCAGCTATACACTTCCATTGGGTTCGGGGATTTTTCAACCAGCCGAGCACTTGGCAAAGGAACGCCCTTTCTTGCGAGCGCTACGGCTCCGGTAGGTTTCCTCATGCTCCTCACGGCTGCAGGCGTTCAAATCTTCGTGCACTGAAGTGGAAGGTGCCAAATTTTTAGATGCGATCCTATTCAAAAATATATTCTGTTCGTATGCATGTTTGATTTGCTGCTGGTAGTGAATGGCTTAATGTCCTGGGAACATGCCAAAAGCGCCTTAATGTTCTTGGTTCACTGGTCTACTTTCAACAACCCGAAGGTAGATAAACAATGATAAACATCTTGACATCAAAACTCTGTCAGAACTGGCATCCGAATTAAACTGCTATACAAGGTTATACTGTTATACTCTAGGTCTTCCCCAATTAAACAAAACTACTTTCCCTGATTACTTCTTCAGAATTGTTCTTTTCCGGGGCCCAGGCGCGACTCCCCAGTTGCTCCTCGCAAGTGGTCTTGCAAAAGTAAGAGCCCCGCGGTTTGGCGCGAGCCCTTGCTTCCTCCTCCAGTCACATGTCTGGTTGATGCGAATGGGCCTATCAAATGGTATCAAGATGCGCTGAGTTCTGAATAGTCTGCATGTCTTTCTTAAGTAAAAAGCTTGAATGAGGCAGTGAATGATATCCACAGATTTACCCTCGGTGACGTGATTTGGCTACTCGCACCGCGGAAACAAACGTGTATTGCCAACAAGTGGTGACAACCCTGCATAGTTTGCTGAATGATTTGCACTGATTTGTTTCATATTCTTTCCGCTCAAACTATAAGATATTCCATTGCCACAATAGTTTGATTGGGCACTTGCCATCCTTGCCCTCCATGAAGATGCAGCTGTCGATCCCAATCTCAATCCCGGCAGTCATGGCTGGGCATGTGCTGACTCAACGCATGATCTGTTTCAATTCTGTTATAGTTTCATGTCGGTGCATTTCATGAGGATACATAGATTTGATGATCTAAAAATTGATCCATAGTGGCACTTTCGGAGTTAGAAGACTTTAGTCTTATATTTATCTATGTTTGATATTATATAATTAATTATTTTTATTTTTTTAAATGGGTTGTTTAAAAGGTTTTCCAAATGACCAGGGTCAAGCGCTGCCAGTTCCCAAGTTCGTCTTTACCACCGAGGCGCCAGGACCACAAAGGCGGGACGACGGCCGCAGCGCTCGTCCAAGCGTCGCAGCTGTCGGCGCAGGTTGGTCTCCTCGGGGAGACGCTGTGGAAAAAATGGTGGGTTTGGGAAGAGCATTTTGGAAAGATGGGTCCACCAATCTTTTCCCCACATTTTGATGGATCAATTTTTTTATGGAAAAAATGTGGGTTTGGGAACATTTGTCCATTTATGGATTCTTTGTGGATCCATCCTTCAGAACCTTCCGAAAAGACTATGTGATGTAGGCACTTGATGAAGACTGAAATGGTCTAATTTGGGATGATTTGACGATGATTTGGGGGTACCCACCCCATTCTAGGGAACCTCCATTTGAATGGAAAAATACGCATGATGAATGTGTCTTCCCATATATGTGGATAAAAATTCTACAGTATATAGTTTGATCAGAACATAATCTATATATCCAATTATATCCAGGTAATTATCATAATTCACTGACCTGAAACCAAAAAAAAACAGCTACGGGGGTGATTCCTCTATATTTACATTCCGACAAAAAACAAATCCCGACGATTTCCAAAACCGACGTGAGGTCACTGGAAAAAGCCGAAGGTGGCACCGTGGAAACCCTGGCAGCAAACACAAGCCCAACGTGAGCACAGTTGAAGTCAAGCAGCATCCAATTTCAGCTCCTTTCAGCGAAGGCACGTTGTGAACAATGTTGAACAAAACGTTGAATAGCGCATTGCAAATGGCACACAGGAGAAAAAACTTGCCTTAATTATCCGTAATTATGAACCTTTGGTTTGTCTTCAAACTGCACCTAGGTTTCAAAGAAGGATTCAATTCATCTCCGCTTCCCTGCTGCCTTCTGCACAACTTCCCTTGTTGAAACTGAACTTCGTGCAGCACATATTATGGCATGTTGCCAGGTAAAAAGGGGCATCCATCAACCCCAGCGCCACTTTCAATTGCCACCCAAGGTAATTCAAGGCATTGAAAACCACATTCTATCAATATACATTACTATTACTAATATTTTTCAGAAAAAATGAGGCTTGACATGTTCTCAATGCCAAACACTTAATCCGATCATCAAGCGTGGCTTGGAAATCCCCGAACTGGCCATGGTAGACTTTCCAGCCACGTCGACTTTATTGACGCCACCAGCATCCAGCAACATCCAGCACCCTTGACATCCAAGTTCTGTTCCAAGAAGCCATGTTTGATTACCCAATAGTTGCTTAGTTATATAGCCCATCAACATACCATTGGATTCCATTCATATCCCACTGGTGTGCGCTGGAGCCAAAGCCACCGACCAGGTCCCTGAGAAGGTCACGAAGCCCTGTTGGCTCAGTGCCATCCTAACACGGCTCGCAAGCCGCTGGACATTAGGATTTCATAGGGATTTTCATGGAGAATCTGCTGGCTTAAATCCCACCCCAACGCCAATCGGGCATCGTGATCCCATGAAATTTGGGTGGAAAGATCATGTGCAACTGAATATTGCTGGTTGGTGGTTGGGCCCACCCCTCTAAAAAATGATGGAGTTCGTCAAATGGGATGATCATTCCCAATATATGGAAAAATAACCAATGTTCCAAACCACCAACCAGGATTTCTAAAAGTGGGACAATAGAGTATAATTTTATTCGGTTTACCACAAAAAAAATACATAATTTTACATAATTGCACATAATTTACATATATACCCTCTGGTAATTTAACATAGCTATTGAAAATGGCCATTTATAGTGGATTTACCCATTATAAATGATGATTTTCCATAGCTATGTTAATTTACCAGAGGGTAAGTTTTAAGATCTTGATGAGGGAGATGAATTTCACCCATCTCCATGAGTGCTTTCATTTGCCGTTGCGATCAAGTTTTGAGGGGACTTCTATCATCCCGTCCACTCAGATAGTGATTGGATGTTTGGGTCGACAGTATCATCCCTATCCTCCATCAATCAATGGATTGGTTTAAGGGAAAATCTACAGGAAACCATAGATTTTCCCATGAAATATGGAGTTTTCCTGTAAATTTTCCCTGAAACCCATCCATTGAATCAAACATGGCTGAGATATCCTCCACAAATGGACATTTGAATGGAAACATCTTTGATTACCAGAGGCTACTTGGGATGGAAACAGGAGACATCTATGAAACCATCAGCCGCGGGTCAAATGCTTCCCAACCACCAAGCAGGAGGGGAGGAAAAACAAAGCCCAACCCATCAATGCCACTCAGCAACCGTCGGGTGGCTAAAGTCGGTTCCATGTTTATCACCTGGATACTGTGCGTCGGATTGCCATCCAATACTCCGATGACTCATGCAGGCTATCTGTTAAATGGATTCCAGTGGCTCATATCCGCGCAACTGGAAAAACACATCATGGGAACATTTGGGCGGGTTGCAGTTGCAGACCCAGGAATAACATGGATCATCGCATTATCAGTGTGCTTGGAAGAAAGAAACTGCTCCGAAACTAATCATGGAAGATCCTATAAGCATCCCTTCAAAGAAAATCCAGCTTCAACATGCCCCAAAAACACCACAGCAACCATACTGTACTTCAAAATATCTGAAACTCATCCCATCAGTTGCTCCCAATCCACCAATCCCCACACCTCCGCCGGAAGCTCCGACACAGGCAAGGACAGGTATCCCAAGGAAACATCCTCAACAAGCTGATGACACAGGACATCCTGAAGCCATGCCATGCCATGCCCCCCGTCCTCGGTGTAGGGGTTCTCATCATAGAAATGCAGCTGAAGCCTAGGCCCAGGCCCAAGGGTGATGACCATGTGCGGACTTTATTACATGAAATCCCCGAACTAATTGTTTAAATGGATGTGTAATGGGAAAATAAAATAGTTGTAAATGGTGGATTCAACCAAACATCAGTTCTGTTTTTGTTCGAAAATTGTATTTTCATGTATTTTCGCCACAGCCACAAAACATCACAAAACCATCTTACATGTGTCTGGTGGGTGGCCAACGATTACTGTAATTATACAGGTTTCAATCCCCAATTCAACCCGGACAAACATTCGCATATAGCAATTATCTCCATATTTGTTGATTTTTTTAGTTGGGCAATTTTTTTTCATCCTTTTTCTGCTTTTAAATCCTCAAGTGTGACGGTGGTTAAATCCACATGCTTCTGGGTTTAATTCATGCTTGGCTTTAAATATGGTTGAATCTGACGGCTGATGTCCCTATTTTCATGAGTAAATTCCAAACAACACATGGATAAAACCCGTTTATGTAATATCTAATGCGGGTACCCTCTGGTAAACTAACATAACTATGGAACATCATCATTTTCAATGGGAAAATCCACTATAAATAGTCATTTTCAATAGCTATTTTGACATAACCAGAGGGTAAATCCCCCAATTTTCCCATGTTTCCACCCTCCAGAAGTCCCCATTCCAAACCAAGGCGCTGCTGCTCGCTGCGAGAATGCACCAGGAACTGCCGAGTGCCTTCCTGAGACAGAAAAGGCACTGGGTCCTTAAGCATCAAATATGGGGGGAGTAACCAACCAAAAATAGAGATAATGATACTTATATGTGTATGATTGTGTATGTATATGTATATATATATATAGATATAGATGACTTATATATACTTATATAACAATTTAACTAGATAACAAGAAATAAGAAATTGTTTTACCAAATGGGGATAGGAGGTGATAGGAGGACTAACAACAAAAACAAACGGGTGTCACAACCAAAACTCGGTTTTCCACCAGAGTTATTCCATCATTGTTTGTTCCGAAAAAGGACCAATACCATAATACCTCAATAAATGATAATAAATGGAGGTTTTACCACGCCAAAAAGGATTATCGAGCTGAAACGGAAATGTTACCACGAAGACATGGGACATCGCGATATAGCCGTGCCATTGCAAATATTAGCAATGTGATCGCCAAACATGGCGACATATTATGGCGATATAGCTACGCTATAATCCACCTGGGATGTCAGGCCTCGTATCCGTCGAGAAGTGTCCAGGCTGGCTAGCCGGGAAAAACACAAAATCCAGAAATTGACAAAGGAACAGTTTGAGTTTATCGCGGGCTTTGCATTTTTCCTCAACGAGGAAGTACGTCTTTAGACACATTGGCAAGCACTGCCCGCTCTCCAATTGATGGCCAACAGTCGCAGGCAACATGCTTCAATCTCTCTCATATCTACTATAATAATATCCCATAATATCATATGTCATATATATATATAATATCCCTAACTATTGATCTTCCTTTCAGGACATTGACCATACTAATACCTCACTCTATTATAATGTGGTAAACCCGAATAGATCCGAATAGTAGGTTCATGGCTTTGGGTCTGCCACACATTCCCCGACAGGCATCAGCTGGAAGCCACTTGGGGTTCAGGTTCTGCGGTCGCACAGGGGTTCCTCGGTTCTCATTCGCAAGGGTCACCGATTTCATGTACCCTCTATAGTCATTTAAATAGCGATGGAACATTGACAAATGATGCATGAGAAACCAATGAAACATGGCGATTTTTTCCATTTTTTTTCTAGAGCCAACTGTATTACCAGAGGGTATCCCACGCTACAAAGCTCCAAGACTCGCCAATGCGATGTGCCCAAGGTTACTTCGCAGTAGGGGTCTGAACCTTAGCCGTTGGGATCGTTGGGCGTCGCGGCATAGCGCCATTGGATGCCGGGAATGGGCACATCACATCCACAGATTGGATCAGATTGGTCACCCACTGGGGCACTGATCATCTGAACAATACTGAACTCAACTGGTCCCTGAGACACACGCGAAACAAGTGACCCTCTCTTGACATTGAAACCCAACCCTAAGATTAAAACAACATGGCAGGCCGGAAAACAGACCCATCTTTTTCAGCATCACTATACTGTTACATATTCCCCGTGAGCGAGGTGAGCCCAGTGACTCGGTTGAGAGAGGCCAAAGGGCAAAGCAAGGTCCTGCAAAGATATCGAGTCATACGGATTTCCAAATGATCCCCTAACTTTCATCCGAAGGAGAAAGCTCAAACTCAAATTCAGCTGGTCTAAATGGATCTCAACTATGCTGTACTCATATTTTGGGTGTGCCCGCAAACATCAGGAAATGCCACAAACTGGCAGGTTTCCTGTTGAGAGGTCAAATCATGCATTCCAAGTGAATTCTTCCACATTTTTCCAAAGCTTTCCCATTCCTTCGCAGCCAGGTCTTCGGCTTGCAGCACCACCACGGTACAAATGCCCTCGGGGAACATGTTGCCTTCGGCGCGGCAAGCGGTTTCAAGGGCCAGAGATGTTGGCGGGACTTTTTTCTGATCCTCTACATGGTCTAGGAAACTCCTTAGGAATCTAGGAAACTCACATGGCTATGGTATAGATGGCCCAGTTAAGTTCGATGATTTACCTGTTGAATCATTGAAACTGGTGATTTTCATTTTGATTTTCCATATGTTAAATTCCCAGAGGGTAAATGAACATCATGAACACACTGCATAGAAATGATATAAGCAAATCCTATAATTACTGTAGACACTTTGAATGTTCACAGGTCATGCTGACGATTCATACTGCAAAAGCCAAGTGCTGTTGGCTTTTGAAAGAGCAAATAAGAGCAAACTTTATGATGGGCATGGCATGGCATGGCTCAAAATTCTTCATATACCCCCGAATTGGATGCCTTGTTGCACCAAAGCTGTGATGATTTTTCCACCTGGCATGCCACGGCCCAGTTTGAAACCTGCTTCGAACCACGCGTCATCGTTGGTGACGTCCAGTAAAACCTGAGATCTTTCGCCATGCGACTCCGTTTCCAGATGTTTCCAGTATAGCCAGAATATCAATAGCAAAAAAGAAGCTATAGCCAAACCACAGTCACAAGATGTCTTTGTATAAATTCCAGTGCCGGCTTCAATTACCCAAGCGACAGCACTCAGATCTGAGCAGTTCCCTTGATGTTCTACTTGGACTCGATACATCTCCACATCTTCCAATGATCGTTGACTATTTCTCTTTTGGCTGCATATGGTATCACACGGTGATTCATCCTAGCCAAAGAACGTCCGCAAAAATCTTTCGACCAAATCTGGCCGCTTCGCCTTGGGCCCCCTCTGAAGCCTTCAACAAAAACCAAGTGTCTGCCGCCACGGCAGGGAGAACGATCTGTTCCGCCAGCTGTTTTTGGATGATCTCCGCCAAGATCTTCTCCAACCAAAGCAATGACACCTGGATTTGATTCATTACCATAATCTACCATACACACATATATTATGTATAGTTACATACATCACGTGCATATCTATATATTATATATATATGAGATTATATATGTATGCCTGGAACCCTCAAGATATTTTTTCCCGACATCTTGACCTTTCAAATGCAGCTCAGCACAGCTTTCGCGCACTGCAGCTGCGGCACACGGAGGCCCATCAGAGTGCCATCCAAAGTCAGCTGCACAGTAGGCAGCTCAGCGAAGTAGAAGGTGATGCCCGTGAAAAAGGGTGGCCTCATCACTAGGGGTGAAGGCCGCAAGGGTGAAATGCCAAAATAATGAAGTGGAGACGTGGTGAAGAATGAATGAAACAACACCAGAAATCAGACTTTCTACTACTATCTATCTACTATATCTACTGTACAATAGCATCTATTATACCATCTAATGTGAGTAAAACAATAGTAAACCACCACCAAATTTTACAATTTTTATGGGTGGTAAAGGCCGTGAATCAAAATATAGGTGCGAAACATCATTATGTCATTGCTTTCACAGTACTCCACAATGAAACCCAATGGCTACACCTCACCTCGGCAAGATCTGCTGGAGACAAACGTCCAGTCGACCTTTCACCTGCAAGCCGTGGTAGCCGTGGAACTATGATAATGGATGGTGTATATACACATATATATATAATATCTTAAGTATAGATGATAATAATCATGCTGTTTCTCATATATGAAATCATGTTTCCACGCTCATAAGCGTAGGGATTCATATATATATATATTGAGTCCGGACTCCGGATCCCTGGCCCCCCCCCCATGGTATGGTCCCCCAAGCTCACGCTCTCGGGAACACGGGACACGGGACACCGGACCATACATACATACATACATACATACATACATACATACATACATACATACATACATACATACATACATACATACATACATACATACATACATACATACATACATACATACATACATACATACACACACACATACACACACACAGACAGACATACATACCTATCTACCTACCACAGACAGACATACATACCTATCTACCTACCTTCCTACCTGCATACCTACGTACGTACGTACCTACGTACCTACGTACCTACGTACCTACGTACCTACGTACCTACATACACACGTACATACATACATACATACATACATACCTACCTACATACATACATACCTACCTACCTACATACATACATACATAGATACCAACATACCAACATACATACCAACATACCAACATACCAACATACCACCACCACAGGCCACAGGGGGGGGACCAGAAGAACCATACCACCACCACAGGCCACAGGGGGGGGACCAGAAGAACCATACCACCATCCCAGGCCACAGGGGGGGGAAACCATGGGGGGGGGAGGGGGGGGGGGCTTGGGAGTCCTGGGTCATATATATCAATTACAGGCTTTCCGATATGTTTATACAATGCGTGTGGTACCTGTCCGGTAAGCAAACATGGCTTGCCAAACAAAATCCATGATACAGGTATAACCCACTGATAGGATATCCCCACCCAAAAAATGGTACAAATAATCCACTTCCTAACTGGGATATGCACATCCAAGCACCATTTCATACCTGGAAGGATTCAACCACCCTTCAGACCATCATAACAAAGGTTCCCAGGGTTTCTCTGGCTCAAAGATTCTCCCATCTATAAAGCTCCATTCAGAACCATTCCAAGGGATTTCCCATTGCCTCAGTACCATAGACAAAGGCTCAAAGTCCCATCATAATGCCCAATTCTACAGGGATTTCACCATTCAAACCACCATTCAAAGAAACCACCATAAACACAGCTTCCCCCAGCCCCAGGTCACCAGCACATGCTCCGCGGAAATGGCCGCGAAGGGTGCGGTCAAGGCCACGTCCACGTCCGCATCCCAGGCCACCAGGCTGGAGACCTGTCAAGCGTTGCGGGGTTGACACGGACATGTCGACGGCCCCCTTTTAAAAAGGGGGTAAAATCCAACGAGAATAAGAATATCATGATAATAATAATATAACATATATATATAATTATATTTATAATAATAATGATTCATAATGACTAATCAAATGAGAATAAGATATAGGTCTATATATTCATGCCAATGACTCATTAACCCCAATGGTTACCATTTCCAGATCATCTTACATCATCCCAAATATGAATATACCCAAGAAACCTCTATATATTAGTTATTAAGGATCCCCCTAATATTCAACAAGTGTAAATCCCCAACCACACCATGGTTGCTGAGGGGTCAGTGTAGTAGTAGATAGCATTAGGGGAAGGATTAGTACACCTCCCATTTGGGGATAGTTCTTGCCATGGCTTCTGCGTCATTTGATATCACCCCACCCTGGCGGAACACCAGGGCCCCGACATCAAACGTGGCTGGGAAATTCCCGAACGAAATGAGCATGGAAATGAACAATAATATCTATAAATCCCTTATAAACGGAGCAATGGGAAAAACTATCTATCTGGTTGGTGGTATACCTACCCCTCTGAAAAATATGAGTTCGTCAGTTGGGATGATGACATTCCCAATATATGGAAAATCATAAAAAAAATGTTCCAAACCACCAATCAGCTATATTGTTATTCCAATTATTAACCATTATTATATAACCATAGATTAACCATAGATTAACCATTATTAACCATTATTAACCATTATTAACCATTATTAACTATATATAAATGTTATAAATCGTTGATTTTCCAGGCCATGCCAGGTTTTTTCTGACCGGGTCATACCGGGTCCACACCTTGAAGCTCCGCATCTCGCCATCTTTGTAGGACTCCTGTGCCAAACGCTCCACGTTGAGCCTGGGAGGAAAAGGCCCTACGGTTCGTGGGTGACATTCCTATCCTTTAGCTGGGAATTTACACTAATACGATATACGTGTATGAATATATATATATATATATATGTACAAATGTAAATAAAACATCATACAATAACATATAATATTATTGTACGTTATAAAATATAATATAAAACATATAATATAATATAGAATAATATAATATATGATGTATAATATGTACATATATATAAATATGTATATATATATTTTAAATATAGAATATACACATATATAGAATATATATTATAGAATATTTGTATATATATATCTTTAAATATTCAATATAATATATATAATATAACATATATATATATATATGTGCGTTAAATTATACATTGTAAATATATTGTATCTGTGCATTCTGGTACCCTGAGAGAGGCCACTTGAAGAAGAACTCTGAGAGCTTCCAACGGTTTTTTCAGCATGGTCCCCCATCTGCAAATCAGCTATCTCGAACTAAAAGGGTTCAAATCGCATTTTTGCCAGGTGTGATTCCGCGTTCTGTCCATTGATTTCCTCATGACTGGTTATTCTTACATGCTGTTCTCATTTTTGCTGGTAAATGTCCTGGTTTAAAGGCATAGCATGCTATACTTATCTATACTTGGATCAATCCCGAATCATTCAATAGTCATCCTCCTGAACTCAAATGTGCTGCGAAATGGCACACTGGATCCAGCATGCTGCCATAGGATGCTGGACATGTGCTCCAGGGTTCTGGGAGGGAAGGGGATATTTCCATGAACCTCTGGCAGTTTAATCCGACAATGGGACATTGTTACGAGGCCCTGGCTGCTAAGGATGCTTTCTTACCATCCTTTTCCGGCATGAAAAAGGGCATACGGCATAGTGGGTTTACCTCTTTTTCATACATTTCCACTTTCATGGCTGATACACTTTCTATCTTAGAAAAGAGTGTCCATTCTTCGGGCCTCAACCCAGCCCGAAAAGGCACCAAGGAACTCTTCCACTTTTAAGGCGGCGTCTCCAAAAGAAATACGCCCGAAACCTGGCCGCTGGGAGTGACTTTCCAGGCAAACTCCGGTTTCCCAGGCCTCCTCAAAAAGAACCGAAACGGGAATGGGGTACTAAACCAACCTTTCATTGGATGGTTCTTATCATTAGGAGGCAGAGATTAGTTGAGCCACTTTGAAAACCTTCAGTCACTCCCTATGTCGCATCATTTTGGGTACGCCAAAGCTTAAGCCATGCTTAGGCACGTAGAGTTTTTCCTTACGCGAGGCAAATTGAGGAAACCCTTACGCGAAGTCCTTACGCGGCCTTACGCAAGTGAGGGTTTTGCTTACGCCAAACACGTTATGACAAGGCCCTTACTGAATATGTAAAGGGAGGTCTTTAGAGCGGCTCAGTTGGGATTTACTTTCCAGAAACAACTTTTCAACCAAGACCGCGCCGTACATGTCCAACCAAGAACAACTCAATCCTGTATCATGGCGATGCTACATAAAAAGTTAGGCTCTGCTCAACGATGTTCGACCCCTCTGCGCTTTCCTTCCAAAACTCCCATGGTTTTTTGACATCGAGGTGCCGAGGCTGCTCAGAAACCAGGGCATTCTGGTCTGAATGGCTTCCTTGCAAAGGGGCTAGGATGGCTTGGCGGCGGGGTGTACATATACACATAAGTCAAGCACATAAAGTTATAAATACAGCTCGACACACACACACATATATATATAATATAATCCTAAATATAGATATATGCAAAGGCATACGCATTTTATATGATCACACATGCATACATTACATTATGTTACGTTACGTTGCCGTACAGTACATTGCAATGCATTCAATTACATTAATTAGATTACATTACATTACATTACATTACAATACAATACATTACATCCGTAGATTACATAACATGACATAACACACTATACCAAAACATGATATGACATGACATAACATAACACAACATACTATAACATAACATAACACAGCATACCATGACATAACATAACATAACATAACATAACATACATACATACACATGATATAATAAATAGTGAGAGAGAGAGAGAGACAAAGAACTATTTCAATAGCATATGATATATGTAACGATGTTCATTGGTCCTTGTACTAGCTGGCTTAGTAACAAGTCACACAAGGAATGAGCGCTGCATCCATAACATCCATGAAGGACTTGGTGTATGATGGACACTTTCAGACTGACACGGCTGTCCCAATCAATGACCAAACAAAGTAGTCAGTGGCCCATGGAGCCGCAAATCGCGGATTTGGAATCATTCAATTATTCAAACTATTGTCTATCAATCTTTTTTTTGAGAGCAACATTACCATGAATTACCTATTGAATCATAACTAGGTCATTCATATTGGTTATCCATCAATCCTGAGCTGCCCAGGCTGGATCCTGGATCCGCGAAGATTTCACCCAAGAGTTACTGGGTTTTTGGCCCCCCCAGTGATGTGAACGTTGGTTAAACCATAACAAAACCACCATTAACATCCATTAACTATGGTTATATCTACCATAAACCATATAGTTAAGCCAGTTATAAGGCAACTTAGCTATCTTGGGGGCCCCATCCTGTATAATCATGAATGATCTTCCGAAAAACAATTGGTGATTTACATTGATTCACCAAGATTTCCCTGAAAGTTCACCAAGAAAATGCTGTGTTTTTCCTGTCCCCGGTGTTTCACCTCCACCGTCTCTTTCAGGACCGTGCGGATGAAGCTGGTGATTTCGGGCCACATCTCCTGGATGTTCATCTCTATCTTTTTTGGCAGCTGCTGTATGCATGTATATATATAATATATATATATATATATACGTATATATATATATATATCTATTATATATGCGCGTGTTATATTTATATTATATGTATGAAATAAATTAATTTAAATACATATATATATATAATATATTTATATATAATTGTGTATACATACATGTAAAAAATAAGAAACCCCAAATGTAGGCAAATGATCATCATTCCCACAAATGACCATGCATCTATTTGTGATTGGTGGTTGGGAGTTCGCTATTACTTGCCGAGGACCGCGAAGTTGTGTGTTTGGCGATGGCCTCTATCCCCTCTTCCATGGCTTCTGGAGGGATAGATTGAATGTCATACATTGAAACAGGACAAATGTGGCAAAAAATGGCCACTGAAAATCATTGAAATTCACTTCTGACCGGCGCTACATGTGATCTAAGACGAAATAAACTAAAACATCACTCACACCGAGGTCTCAAGTTGATGGACTCGGAACATGGATCGAAGCATGTCGTACAACCCACTGTATTTGGAGTCAAGCCTGCAGTGCTGGAGTCCCTGGAGGCTGACCCCAAGTATCATCGCACCCTGACCCCATCTGACCCCCAGTCACAGTCACCATCACCCGTCCTGCACTGCGATGTTCAGCAGCGACACTTCAGCCACGTCACCTGGTGGCGGGTAACATGGCGGGAAACTCATCGAACCTTTGGGGGGGATTTGTCCAGCATATCTGGATATAAAGGTGACCACTGCATGAAGTGAATGAATAATGCAGTAATGCACGCATTTTCTTCGTGATTGCCCTGTATGACCCTATGATTCCCGCACAATTGCTTGCAAAAATCATCCGAAAATCCGTCCAGAATCCAGGTGATATAGCCATTGGAGAAGTTATATCCGCCGACCCCGGCAGACGCAAGGGGGGGCGCGCCAGGGAATAAGACAAGCAAGTTTAGCCGCACCAGCAGCAAGAGCAGCGGCAGTGGCAGTAGCAGCGTGTTTTGCTGTTTCGAGTGGGTTTTGAAAAAGATGTCTGGCTGTTGGTTTCTGGTTGATGGCACAGCAGGAGCAGCGCAAGAGCAGCAGCAGCAGCAGCAGCATCAGCGGACGACAGCACCAGCAGCGGCAGCTGCAGCTGCAGCGCCAGCTGCAACACAACAGCAGGATTAGGTGGTGTTGCAGCGTTTCGAGTGGTGTCCATCAGTAGAGCTGTTGCGCGTTGCAAAGTTCCAAGGTTGAAGGCTTCAAAGCGACAGGAAAGCTACCGCAAAGGCAGCCAGAATTTTTTCTAGGGTTTCAGAAGCGACGTTAGGGAGTTTTTCTGGTCACTTTTGGGATGTTTTGGGGGCGAAATTAGGTGGTGTTTCAGCGTTTCGAGTGGTGTCCATCAGTAGAGCTGTTGCGCGTTGCAATGTTGCAAGGTTGAAGGCTGCAAAGCGACAGGAAAGCTACGCCAATGGCAGCGAAAAAATTGTTTCCTGAAACCTCTTTACTTGAGATTTACATGTGATGATCTTGGATCTGTACAGATGCTTACTTGTGAACAGAAATAACCTTTTATGATTCTTCAAAACATTTTTGTAAACAAGTGCGCTGGGCCTTTGCAAAACCAATTGTTTCAAAGTTTTGGGAAAGAAAACAACTTGCTGGCATTGCCAGTTTTGATTGCATCACACTATGAATTTTATATGTCCATATTGTTGTCCAAAGGTTTGGGAATCACTGGAATCAAGTCCAAATGTATAATCAAAATCCTTAAAAACCACATGTCAGCCCTTGAATTTTCATACAAATTCTATATGAAGTTTAAATGCAGCTTATATGCAGTTTCAAAACTACATGTAGTTTATATGCAGTTTTGACCAAACTACATGTAGTTTTGGAAACTGCATATAAACTGCATATCAAAAATCTACAGGTTTTGAATGATTTTGACATGTCTGGAAAGCTGAAAGCTTGAGATTTTGAACTGCTGCTTCAAGAAAATTATTGACTTTCAAGGATGCCAAGTTTGAAAGAACAAGTATATAATATATATAGACATGCAAGACCTTTTAGGCAGACAACTAACTGAACCAAAGATACTTTGATGAAATAAACCTGAGAGCCATTGCTGCTAAAGTTTCGGATCCTTTTCAAAACTTGGTAAAGGCTGCAAATAATGTTGTTCAGGAAATAATTTCATATGTGTCCCATGACATTTGTCAAGGCTGCCTGTGACTAACCAAATAAATTTGCAAGACATTTGGCCAAACAATGGTTCAAGAGTTATTCATGACTTTGTTGACCAGAGATATTCCAACAGTAAAACTAATTTGGAAACTCACCTCTGGAAATGAACCAATAGTGCCAAGTTTCTCTTATCTCATCCTAGTTTGTCAACTTACATGTGCTTACTTGAGATGACTAATTTAGATCATGATCCTAGCCTGCAATAAACAATGAAGACACTGCAAACTCAATTAAAAACGATTCTTAAGTAACTCACAAGTAAATTGCAGAGCACAAGCATTGACACAAGTATGCAGCACACAAGTAAATTGCAACTGCACCTAAAGTACGAAAAAATGGTGTCGAAAAATTCTATGAAGATAGATTGCAGGGCATTGCTGGTTGTTTCCTTAAGGGACAAACTGGCGACCCTAGATAAAGTTGGTTTGGGATCCAATGAAGGTTTTTTGGAAGTTGAAACCCCTATGCTTCATATGATTCCTGGGGGGGCAACAGCAAAACCTTTCGTTACACATCACAATTCTTATGAGATGGATATGTATTTACGTGTCGCACCTGAACTACATTTAAAGCGTTTGATTATTGGGGGAATTTCAGACAAAGTTTTCGAAATCAACCGGTGCTTTAGGAATGAAGGGGTGTCCCCGCGGCATAACCCAGAATTTACAATGGTTGAAATGTATCAAGCATTTGCTGACTTTGAAGATATGATGGATCTTACTGAAAATATCATAACCCATATCTGTGAAAAAGTTTTAGGAACTTATGAAGTTCCATACGGGGGCTTGTTGGGCGTGTTAATGCAGGCACAACAGTTCTAACTTTAAAATCCCCAAGTCTTGGTACATGAAACACAGAGGTGAACAGTCACATGTATACAACTAACTCATGTAAATTGCAGAGCACAAGCATTGACACAAGTATGCAGCACACAAGTAAATTGCAACTGCACAAGTAAATGAAACACAGAGGTGAACAGTCACATGTATACAACTCATGTATATTGCAGAGCACAAACACATGAAAAAAATATCTCGAGAGTGCATGACACAAGTAAGTTGCACATGATTCAGCTGTGTGTTTCATTGAAAATTTACCACATTTCCATTGTGAACATGTTAAAAAATACATAAAAAATGATTGAAAAAAAACGAAAAAAAAGGTCAAAAAAATAAAATTTAGGTATAACCTAAAAAATACATTTACTAGTAAATGTTTAAACAAAAATACGTAAATTTTTAGGGAATGGGTCAAAGAGTAAATTTACTAATTTACGTAAATTCTTGCCTGAGTAAATTTACAAATTTTCGAGACTAAGGGTAGAGCTGTTGCGCGTTGCAATGTTGCAAGGTTGAAGGCTGCAAAGCGACAGGTAAGCTATGCCAAAGGCAGCGAAAAAAATGTTTTTTTTTTCTAGTGTTGCAAAAGCAACGTTAGGGAGTTTTTCTGGTCACTTTGGGATGTTTTGGGGGCGAAATTAGGTGGTGTTTCAGCGTTTCGAGTGGTGTCCATCAGTAGAGCTGCTGCGCGTTGCAAAGTTACAAGGTTGAAGGCTTCAAAGCGACAGGAAAGCTACGCCAAAGGCAGCGACAAAATTGTTCCCCACATTGACGTGTGGGGTTTTTGTTTTTAGTTCTGTATCCGCTCCTCTTCCTCCTCCTCCCGCCGCCTCGCCTCCCGCCTCACTCACTCACTCACTCACTCACTCACCCACTCACTCACTCACGCACTCACTCACTCACTCACTCACTCACCTCATCTCATCTCACCTCATCTCATCTCATCTCACCTCCTCACTCATCTCACTCACTCACACTCACTCACTCACCTCCTCACTCATCTCATCTCATCTCATCTCACTCACTCACTCACTCACTCACTCACTCACTCACTCACTTACTCACTCACTCACTCACTCACTCACTCACCTCACTCACTCAACTCACTCACTCACTCACTCACTCACTCACTCACTCCCTCACTCACTCACTCCCTCACTCACTCACTCACTCACTTACTCACTCATCCGCCGCTTTTGCGTGGCAGGCGTGGGACAACGTGCACTGCCAAGGGGTCGGATGTACGCCCTTGCGTCCCTCCGGTGTCCCTTGGTCTCCGCCGCTTTTGCGTGGCAGGCGTGGGACAACGTGCACTGCCAAGGGGTCGGATGTACGCCCTGGCGTCCCTCCGGTGTCCCTTGGTCTCCGCCGCTTTTGCGTGGCAGGCGTGGGACAACGTGCACTGCCAAGGGGTCGGATGTACGCCCTGGCGTCCCTCCGGTGTCCCTTGGTCTCCGCCGCTTTTGCGTGGCAGGCGTGGGACAACGTGCACTGCCAAGGGGTCGGATGTACGCCCTGGCGTCCCTCCGGTGTCCCTTGGTCTCCGCCGCTTTTGCGTGGCAGGCGTGGGACAACGTGCCCTGCCAAGGGGTCGGATGTCCGCCCTGGCGTCCCTCCGGTGTCCCTTGGTCTCCGCCGCTTTTGCGTGGCAGGCGTGGGACAACGTGCACTGCCAAGGGGTCGGATGTACGCCCTGGCGTCCCTCCGGTGTCCCTTGGTCTCCGCCGCTTTTGCGTGGCAGGCGGGGGACAACGTGCACTGCCAAGGGGTCGGATGTACGCCCTGGCGTCCCTCCGGTGTCCCTCCGGTGTCCCTTGGTCTCCGCCGCTTTTGCGTGGCAGGCGTGGGACAATGTGCATTGCCAAGGGGTCGGATGTACGCCCTGGCGTCCCT